CACATACACGGATAGTAGTAACCAATGTGCTTGGGTTGCAGAGGAAGAGAAGCGAACATAACCGGAATAAAGCAACCTTTGAACAATTCGTTGATATTACAGGTACGCAAAGCCGATCCAAACTGTACATGACAGCAGGATCTGGCCACTCTGAGGCAGAGGAAAGACAAGATGAACTAATATGACTTTACTAACAAACCTAAATCACAAGCATCGACTCCACTAGCACACACATCCGAAAATGTCCTTGATATATCTCCTAACAACACTGTACAACCTTTTTTAACCTTCTGTTTGTTGCACATTCCTCAAATCACGATGAACCTCCCAGTATGTACCGGATAGCAATCCTTGATCAACTCCACATGTAGTTAAAAAACCACCCTGTTACACCCAGGCCCATCACAAGAATGGTCAAAAATACAAAAAAAGCAACAACAAGATAACTACAAAGCATAAAACAGACGAATTCACAACAATATCTAAATTCCATATCATCATCGTACCATACACTTGCATGCACATAATTCAAAAAACCTAATATTACCAGCAATAGATTAAATAACGAACTCAATAACATGTGCAGGCTGCATCACCTGTATTTATTCTTTTTTACCGATATTAAAGTTATGACATTATTATTTTAGAACAGGTTAGAAGTTTTTACTTTTTTTTCATGATAGCACGGCTATCACGGTGCTACAAAAATGTTCTGATCAGCTCTGTAGTTCACAAGCACTTGCACGGTTGTGGTGCATGTTTGAGCAGAGGAGTGAGAATAAAACAATGAAACATTGAAACGAATAATTAATTCAACTGTTCTGGTAGCAGTTGTTGCACTGATCCAAGATTGTGGAGGTGTTTTACACTTTTCAATTCCAAGCTTAGTTGATTCACCGGGTAGTCATAGCTGATGACAAAGTTCCTTATATCAGTTTGATTGACATTGACAGGTGAGTATTCTTATCATTTTTAATCTGAGCAGAACTTTTGGATAGATGTGTGCGCATCAAAATGGACAATAAAAGTGCTTTTATCAGAATGATACTGTTTATACATATCATATTTATATCAAAGTTATCATCATTCATTCATTCATTCATATAAATAAGAAACAACTCGAAAGCTGATTGGTCAGTTCTGAGAAATAAATTATTTGACCCTCCGAGAAAAGTAAAAGATGTTTATTTTATGTATTTGCACTGAATAAAGGTCTGAAATTGTTGTTTAACTCACTCTTTCTGGAACACCCTCAATTGTTTTCTACTAACAATATCAAAATTACATAATCACCGAATAGTAGCTAATTACCTAACCCTTACCATAAGATCTTAAACAATAAAAAAAACATAATACGACATATGAAAAGAAGGAAGTATCATTTAATGGAAAGAACACTTTCTACGTAATATAAAATGGAAATAGCGCTGCTATTTTTTAATACTAGAAAGCATGATGTACCTTGTGATATGTAACTCGACCAGGAAGTAAAAACATCATCTTTCTTGAAACGAAACCGTCCAAAAACTATCGTGCGTTTTCCAAAAGCATGGCTATTTTATTTTTTGTCCTCTACTGAATCATAAAATCCGCTTATGTCAAGAGTGTTCCACTCCAATCCCTCAATAACTTCCACCAAAGCGTTTCTGATCTCGCCAAATCCGTCTACTATTACCTGATTTACAATCTCGGCACAGCACATTCGCCATCTTTCTATATCAACACCTCTTCCATACACAATCATCTCCAGAACATCATTTAACTCAAGCTCACAGTTTTTAAGCTCTTCCAGTGCTTCCTCGTGTGCGCCTTTCGCAATCTTTTCGATTGCGCATTGCTTTTTTAGGTGGTCGGAAAGGTTCGTGGTCGTAAGAAATTCGAAGTTGTAGTGCTCAAGCGTCTTCTGTGCGGCGATAGGCTGACCAGACGAAATCAGCTCTCGTACCTTTGAGCGTAGCGTAAGAAACGAGTTCGGATAGAATGTTTGCCCGGTTTCCCGTGCGTATGAGCTTGCTATTTGCTGGTTTCCTTGATATATGAGGTAGTCCATGACCAGTTTATTGTAGTCTATTTGTTTGGTGGACATGCTTGAAATTTGTGATTGTCCGATTTCATTAAATATACCGAGCTTGTTTGTAAATTTGTTAATTACGTGATAAATGTTTTAATTAATTACATCGATCAAAGATATGCCGGATGGTAAAAGAATAAAAATATTTTGCTACGTCTTTTTGACAGTGGCTGATGAAGAAATACTCGTATTTACATGGCGATTTGAAGTAAAACGCTCCATAAGTAAACTAATACGTACAAGTATTAAAAACATAGAGTTTAGTGCGGTATTTATTTTCAACGCAATATGGGTCAAATCAGCAACAAAACAGGTAAAGCCCGTTTGCGTATTTCGTTCTTGGGTATGGTTGTAAAGAAAGAAATTGAACAACAACCATATGAAACGGTGTAGAATAAAGAATAATTTGTTACTCGAATATACTTACCATTGCCTTATACGGCTATCTTTTATTACAGACTAAAGCTGATGGTGTTAACGCAAACTGGAGAGCTGTACTAGCCCGCAGTCAAAGTTCTTTTTACAATACCTAGTTTTGTATGACAAATATGCTAGATGCATCCTAATCGAGGTAACCGGTCATACAAATAACTAATCCGTACGTTAACTAAAACCATACATCTCACCTGTCATGTCATAATTGAATAAATTTGGAACGCTTAAGTTAAATTACCGTAACCCTGGTCATTTCCAAAAGTATGACGACCAAGGGACGATCAATGACCGGTAATTTATACCTGATCACGAGGATAAAGAATGCGCTTTACCTTTTTATCGTAGTTATGTTAGAATATGTTATTAACAGTTGGTTGCTTATACAGATTCTGAGAATAATTCCAGTGCCTACCACGAAATCAGACCATAAAATTGCGTTCATTCTGGATGGGAATAGAAGATACGCTAGGGCACGCAATCTCACGCTTAAAGAAGGAAAAAAACGTGGTCTGTTGAACCTGAAGCGAATTCTTACGTATATAGGACATACCAACATTAAAGAGGTAAGTGTCTACGCGTACTCGTTTCAAAACTTTCGTAAACGTGATAGAGTTGAGTTGGACAGTATTTTTGAGCTCCTCCGGTCGGAACGTATGGAAGGTTTAGATTATCAGCTGCGGTTTCATGGCTCGCTTGAGCTTCTCAAGCCTGCAGAACGAAAGATTTTGAAGGCGCTAGAATCTAATACTAAGTTCAAGAGGAAGAGGTTGAATATCTGTATCTTGTACAGCGGACTGGTCGAGAAGAAGCCATATTTTGATAGACCGAATATTCTAGTGAGAACAGGCAACCAGAGGAGATTGAGCGATTTTTTGCTGTTGCACTGTGCAAATGGATGTAATTTAAATTTTTTGGACAGGATGTGGCCCGAATTTGAGGTATGGCAGCTCTATTTATTACTCGTGAAATATTCGTTGGAGAGTCAAATAGTGGACTGAGCAATGTTTTATTAAATTATTGTGGTTAACCGTCTGATATAGCCCACGGGTTTGTCATGTGTTCAAGTGCTTATTCCTTAAATAAAAACATTTTTATTTATTTCCTCACATAACATGAACATTTATCCGTTTCGTGCGCTTACGAGCAGATTGTCCATTTTGAAAGCCGTTCGCAGGCCTAAGATACATTTGTATTGGTGCATGACTATCCGTGAAGAATGCTTGTTCGTGGTAAATAAACCATTTTATATTCTCGATGGCTATAGCTTCGGTGTCCTACTCCTCCTATAATCACTTATTTTCATCTCATTATATGTCAAGTGCTCTTTTTCAATGTGTATTTCGGCCTCATCCTCAAAGAAAGCTTAATAGCACACCACTCCCCTACTTCCGATTCGTCTGCCATCATATTTCGCCTATATGAACAAAACCGTATCTACCAACAAAAACCACTCTCACGCCATGTATGCGTCACTGATACTCCTCTAGATTGCGTAGTGCTCATACAGTCAAGTGAACTAATAATTACTGTTCAAAGAAATACACAAATATTGTTTACCTATCTATGTTGCACCATAGAACCGCTCAAGCCATCATAATCCTTTGATTCGTGAGATGCATTATGATTGCTCGCTTTAATCATGTACCAGCAGCACCATCCTACATCAGCACGAACAGACAAATGGAACAAAAAATGTGTTTATTTTGTTGAATATGAAGAGAATAATAAACGAGTCTGAGTGACTAAGCAAAAAAATGTACTGCAAATCATAATATTGAACGATGGAGAAGTGTATGCCTATAAATAACGGTGATGGATTTCTTACATCATTTATAAACCACAACAATGAGACAGTCGTGGATACCGAGCGTAAACAATACGTTGGGTTGCATGACCGAATAATACACGCAAAATAATTTTAAATATATTAAATCGAGCCTTTCAAATAAAATGTAAATAATTCGCACCACCCTTCCATGTTCTACTACACAGAGGATCAAATGATGTCTTTTCTTACGCTCAAGGAGGAGAGGCCAGAAGATTTTGATACTGCGAATCCGTTTTACTCGCTGGATACCCTGTCTCTGAAAGTACTCTCTGCCTTTGATGAGCGCGAGCAAGCAATTTACGAAGAGAAAAGGCTCAACTCGGGTATTTCTACAGTTCGGAAAACGCATGTGGCCAAACGGAGGGAAAAGGAGCATCCTGATGCTCTGTGGGATATCAAAATCAAGGAGAGGAACGAGGGCTTTTTTGATTCGCAGGGCAATTACATAATAGAGGGCGGAGTTGAGCACGAATATGAGGAGGAGGTATGTTGGCTTATAAAGAAGGGAGGATGCATGCAAGGACCCTTCAATCAGAAGGAAATGTATGATATGCACGAGCGTGGGGATCTTATCGAATCGTTGATACGGCGGGATGTTGATAAGGTATTCATGGAGTATGAGAAATTGAAGAGCGTGCCGCGTATCTTTACAAGTAATATGGATGAGCATGCGCTCAATGAAATGTTTAGCAACGCTCATCTGCACAAGAAAGAGGGTGCGGCAGTGACAGATATGCCGTTTTACGACACGTGCACACATATGGCAGACGAGCCACCTCACGAGAAGAAGAAGACACTCGCCGACCGATTAGAAGATTGTACGCGAACAAGAAATCTTTTGAAAAAACGGAATTTGACGATTAGACTATATGACATATTCGTATGTATAAAGGGAATGAAGAAGGATGCAGCAGTGGAAAAGATGAGAGGTATAACCGGGCTGTGTATGGCTGATAATGCTGAGCTGTTGGATTCTTTTTTGGAAGAAGTAGGCGTGCAAGTGTGTAAGGATGTAGACAAAGACGGGTTTTATATCAAGATACCGAGCGGGAAGAGGAATGTCAAGGCCAGAAGATAAGCTGAGCGGTATCCAATAAATGCAGTTTCCTACTTTTTTGTGAATTGGTGATGAAAACGTGCTTGTGCTGCGATTTACTTGTTGTGCGCGTGGTAGCAGCGCACATCTTTTTTGACAGTTTTTTATCTGTCAGTTCACACAAACTCTCCTGGTACGCTGAGTGTTTACCGCGGCATTAGCGACCTTTAGTTCACAGATGCATCTTCTCTGTTAATAATGTATAAATTTGCTCGCTGCTCTTCACACGCATTTTTGTCATTTTTGCATCGCGTGTTTGTTTGCGCGGTCGTCACTTGAAAAACGGTTTGTTCGATATTTTGCTATAACTCTGATGACAAATGTTCGCTTATAACTTTTTATAAAATATTTTGGACTCGTTGCGCTGTAAAAATTGAAGAGAATAAACAAGTGCACTGCCATAGAATAAACTAGGTGGCAAAGAACCTTTGATACGTGTCACTGAGCATAATTATAGTATCTGTTGATTAAACATGAATGGCCTTGGTGAGATAGCACCAGGTAGACAATATTCATATTTGCCGTTCTATGGTTACATTCCCAGTGGTGAGAGCATACGATACATACATTGGTCCTCAATTCACGTTATATTAATACAGAGCGTGTTTTCTTAAAATGTACATTCAGCCTGTTTTATACATCAGCAGAGTCTCAAATAAACAAATACGTTTTGCTTTGATATCGTATCTAATATTTTAGGTCGTTTGCATTACTCTGCAGTATTGTGGTAGTCAAATCAGTCCACAACCCCAAAATATGTCTACGATAGGCACCCTGAGCGGACCAAAAAGGTGCTCATCATTTTTACTACCGATGTTGAGGTGCACGATAGGTAGAAGTTCTATCAATGGTTTTCGAATAAAATCATTTTATTTTAAAGATGATCAAGTCCGCGATAACATAGAATAGTGATTGTATGCAGTTCTGTTTGCCTACGTTGGTCCTTTTGATACCCCTTCGATACTCTGCCCTGATTCGATCAATTCATTCTAAAATCGAAGAAACAGCAAACATTGACACTTGCGCAATGTTTGTGTATATGTTTTAGATTTAGCGTGTAGTTGTACGATGAACAGAAGTATGCCGTCAAGGAACAATAATATATCGCATTTAACACATGGTATGAGGTTATCTTTCGGCGAGAGAGAAAAACAAAAAAATGGCTAAAAAGATGATAAACTGCGGTATGAAAGGATGATTGAACGATTTGCAGTAAAAATGGATGATGAAGCGCAAACAAATCCTCTGATAAAAATGATAGTTTGCAAATTTTGAACTGAAAATACGCTCGTTTAACACGTTCTAAGTTGTTTACGTTAATGAGTGCCGGTACTGTTATAGGTCATAGCACCAGAATTGATAACGAATGTTATGATTTGCTTATCATGTTTCTCTTCATCCTAGTCTGCTTCTCGTCTCAAGAGCAGGAAAATAACTCTTTACACAGCACTGCCACATCACTTTTGAGAACGTATGGTTCTTCCCCTTTTTTACAAAAGCTTTCCATTCACACTCTCGTACACCAACAAACGGTTTCTTATTTTTTTCAACCAATTACGTGTCTCTTGTCACGTTTTTATAGAAATGTTCGCAGAACCCTGGCAATGAAATTAAAGGACATTCATGAAACACTAAAAATTACAAAAACGGCTGCCAACACGTTCACTCTGAGCTTAAATGACAAGAAGTACCAGATATTTACGAATGAAGAACGAACACTTGATGAAATACTGGAGAAAATACGCGGCATGCCTGGCAGCACAGATGAGATACAATTAGAACATAATGAATATATTCGAAGAACGGCAGAGCATAGGAGCATACTGGAAAGACAGAGAAACGAAGAATTAGAAGATATAAATCGTATGCAGCGAACGGTCGGATATGGTAATTTGAGAAGCGAACACAACGAACGTGAACAAATAAAGCGCCAAAGCATGCGTGAAGGCGTCAATTCGCATGAGCCAGAAGATGTTCAGAGACGGACAATCGCGTCCATTGAAAAACAGCATCATGGCAATTCTCGCTCGGCACATGACCCTATCAGCATACAGCCACCGGGTGCAGACAAAGACCTTTACCCCGGTGTATCGCGAATAACATCCAAAACTGGCGAAAAGGGCGGAGGAATGTTCATGGGTGAGGATGATCCGTTTTTTAGGCACCAAATGGATGAACAAAGTGATGATGATCCAGCGAATCCTTTTTCTAGGTACGATCCGATATTTCCTACGAAAAATAAGAAAAAGAAAGGACCTGATCCCGATCATCTGCGCAAGCCTGGTGGAAATGGCGACATCTTTTAGGCAATACTAACCGGTGGCTGTGGTAAGCATGTAATAAAGTATGATATGTTGATTTATGGCATTTTAGATAATTTTTGAGGAGCTTTTCCGGTATCTATGTTGAAGGCCAGATTTTAGTGGTAATTCTACACTCAGCAGATCATTATGAAAGTGGTTGAACGTGTTCTTTATTTTCGCATTTTAACCAGCAATTTAGCAGAAAGAGCTGTCGATGCAGGAACGTTTTATATCGGGATGTTTTACAGACGCGGTGGCATCTTGTGTTTAATTGGCGAGTATCCACGCATATAACCGTGCTACCACGTTAATATGTGGAATACCCGATATAACAGCTGTACAAATCGTAAAGCTCCAGCTTTTCGGCTAGAACACCATGACAAAGCAATACCTTACGGCAGTTTTACCGGTGTAACAACATACCATCCTATTAACAGCATTTTTCTACTGTGGTATACAACCATTGTAATTACCTACACAATTTTACAAGAATTCAAGCAATTAACCGCACAGGAACAAACGCCAGACCTTCCCCCAGCATATCATAGACTAAAGAGCTCCAAATGTTTTATTCTCGGTAGTTCGTCCGAATATAAAACCATAGTAGTTAAAAATATCCTTTATTGCCATCAAACTAGGCAAGAGTATACAAATTGTTATTTCTCTCCCTAAATCCTTTCATCGCGTTCTCGTGCACCTTGAACGCCAACTCCTTGCTGTATCCAACCACCTTCTTCCATTCCTTCCCAATATCTACCACATCCTCGTCTGTGTCCTTCGTCCAGAGCGCAATTCTGTCAAAGGATCTTCTAGGCGATAGCACACACCCGCATATACCCTTTTCAGCCACCATTTCGCTGGCTGCATATAAAATGGTGCGCTCCCAAATCGATATAATCTCGTTGTTCACTGTTCCGAATCCCTTTGGTATTTCAATCACCCATTTCCCCCCTTTCATGTTGGCTTTGTCCTCCCAGAGAGGCTGAATGCCTCTGCGGAAGAAATGCACATTTGAGTTTAGCGGCCATGCACTCGCCTTCTCAAGATTGTCGAGCAAGTACAGCAGCTGCGGAAGATCATCTATCGTGGATATCTCGTTGAGACACGACGAATAGTTCTCTGATGATAGGTTTCTTTTGGCCTGGCAATCGTACCACATTGTCCATTCAGTTTTTGTTGGATATTCCATTATTTGTTTTTTAGGGGTTTCTGAAAAATATAAAACATGAAACAGCAGAGTTTTATCTGTGGACCGGTTTGAGACATGTTTATAGGAGTTCGACAGATTATGTGGTACTTTTTTGAGATTATTTCATGATTGTCTGCTCAAGTCAGTCACATATAGTGAATTGTCTACAATTACAACTGCACAAATGTCCGAGTTGTTCCAGAGTCATATTCATTGGTTGGATATCGAACATAATTTAGTAAAAATTCGGTATTCCTCTGGCCGTGTACGTGGTAAAAATAGTATAAGAACCTCATGCTTCCAAGAATATTTAATCATAACCCGTTCAGGTGTTGATAGCTACCCCTTCATTTAATTTTCTAAACATTTGGTAAACTTTCTTTTGCCGTCTTTTCGCTCTAACCTTCTTTACATACAAAAACACAACAATAAAGACAATTAGAACGCCAAGGGATAGACTTACGCACGCTCCTATTATAAAAGCAGAGCTGCTAGTAGAGGGCGCTGGCGAAAGCGTGTACGGCGGTGTATTGGAGCTGCTAATAGATGACACTGGCGAAAGCGTGTATGGCGGTGTATTGGAGCTGCTAATAGATGACACTGGCGAAAGCGTGTATGGCGGTGTATTGGAGCTGCTAATAGATGACACTGGCGAAAGCGTGTATGGTGGTGTATTGGAGCTGCTAATAGATGACACTGGCGAAAGCGTGTATGGTGGTGTGTTGGAGCTAGTTGATGATAAATTTCGCATACTATAAAATGGTGTAGTTAGTTGAGATGATATATTATTTTTAGAAAAAGGCACAGATGTGCTCGGTTTGAGTGCTGTTTTAGCATCAGAGTTATGTTTTGCGACATGAAATCTTCCATCACATCGTGTATTGTCATGAGATGTGCTTTGGCAGCATATTTCAAACCCGGTAAATTCATGTGAACTGACAAGCGGAGATTTAGGAGTTCTAACGCAGGTCATAGTATCATTATGATCTATTTCGCCACAACTCATGTCAAAACCTGCCATCCCCCTCTTTATATCTAACTTTGGTGCCATTAAATGTTTACCGCCACAGTTGAGATTTGGAAAACCGAATTGTGAGCAATGGATCAGAAACCTAGTCCTTTCGGGATCAACTGAAGTCCTATTAGGTGCAGGGTTGCTAAAATTAATCCAACCGTTACATCTAGAACCCCCTGATACCTCTTTGTTGCAGTTTATTCTAAGATGCGCCACATTGCTGAGGCCATATCCGTTTGCACCTGCTTGTTCGACACATCTTGTTTCTTTGTTGTTCTTACGACAATTGAGACTAAAGTTTATCAATTGGCCATGATCGGATTTAAGAAATTCGGATCGAGACGCACAATATTGTCCCGTTTCGCCCATTTTACAATCTATCTCTAGCTTGCCTTTGTCGTCTTCATCTACGGCTTGTCTCGGAACTCGGATTTTGTTGTCTTCGTGTGGTTCATGTTCCAAATCTGTTGGGATACATCCATTATTTTTTATAGCGAAGGCAATCGACATTATAACTTTTTGCACTTCAATTCTTCGTTTATATACTTTTGTTAATAAGCTGAATATTTCAGAGACTGCCATTAACCATAATTGTAATAAAAATTAAATAGTCGTATTTTGGAATAGTTTCCTTATCAACCAAAATATCCCTTAATGGAAAAATTATTGGAGCTCATCACTCGTGTTTGATGAATCAATTGTATCCTGTTTTTGTCGATTAGTATATCCCATTTTTGATACTTCGTTTGTGCCAAATGCAATTTCTAATTTTTATATGTGTAGTTGTAGCCTTTGGGTTGGCCAAAAATGTTCTAATGATCAGTGTATTACACCAAGTATGGTGTTTTCACCTGCATGTCAACCCGACATTACCAAAAAATCGAATTCTATGGTTAGAATTAACTGCTACGCCGGTTCCCTTCATATTTGTCCTAAAAAATGGTTGGGAAAGCACAACGAAGTTACATACGGCAGATGTCTGATAAGCAAGGACTATCACTTGAGTAATGAATAGTTGTAAATTTAATGAAATATTTGTTGTGGGTATCCCTAATAGCGATAGAGAGTGCTAACCACCGCTAAATAGGCTGAAAACCGGAGGGTGCGTTTCTCGGATGTGGTAAGAACTCTTGCCGTTGTTCATGTTCAAGTGTTATTCTTTTGTGTGCTCATAATTATTAATCTTGCACCGTGCTGTTCCTCCTTTAGCAAAGCTTGTTGCATATCAAATTCTGGTTTTGTAAGGAATTATAGGACAGCTGCAGTATTTAATCCGGAATTGCATACGGTTCAAACTCCTGCCGGTGTCATACAACATCTTATTATGCCATCTCTCCTATAATAGTAATTACGTATAGGTGTTATTATGATAAGTTTAAATTAGGTAAATAAAGGGCTCTCTGTGTAACTAAACGCTAATATTGGATGCAAGTACTTGGTCTACGACAAGAATAGCTCGCGAACAGACTATTTCCAAATATTTTGGTTATAAATATTGTGGAGCCTGCTACCACCACATTTAATTTATCAACATTTCTAGAAATTTAACAATGATAGAAAAGATGAAAAATTTGTGTTCGCTGTAATCTAAAATAAAAATACATTTAAAGACCTAAGTGTACATAACGAGTTAAAAAAGTATTGCAATGGCCCAGTAATACGGTTCTACCGCAAAGACAACGGCTGAATGCGCTTCGTTATGGTTTTATTGGTAGCAAAGAAAAGATGTCGTGGTAACAACACGTTGGGGAGCACAGTTATATCAACAGAACAATTGCTCGCATCTGGTCGGCAATGAGATAGGTGTGTATCACATATTATTTCGGTCTTTCTATGACGCAAACAACATTATACTTTGATACCCTCGGTGCTGAAGTCAAGTATTCTAGTGCAATACCTCATGCGCTTCCCAACATTCTACCGCGCGGTTACTGTGTTCGATAAACTGATGTGCACCTCCTTAATTAACGTTATTCCCAGCTTTCTTTTTTCTTCTATGCTTGTGCAAAGCAATTACACAGCACTAATACGCCGTGGTGCACCCCGGATTCTGTCTTTACACTAAAGCCTGAAATTCGCTCGCGAATTCGATCGTCAAAGCGGTTTTAATTACCACGTGCCAGGAGAGAAAAGAAATAATGCATGCGGATAACAACTCAGCTGAACATTTTCTGAAAAAATTAGATCTTGTTAAAAGTTCAGCATGGGTGTTGGCTGTGTCTTTTCTACAAGAATGTTGTAAACAAAACGATGCTCATCGTTTTAGTTCTGTGATATTATTCGTTGCGATGGGTCTGAAATTCTACAGGTCCATTCATGACATATTATCACTTCTCAATTCTGAAGCGGGATGAACAAATAATTCGTTAACCTTAAAAGTCAGCTAAAGACACCCGTCCGCAACAACGGCTGAATCATAGGTAGCACTAAATGCGTTACAGCAGAGGAAGAAATAAATGACTTATAAACGAGTAAAAACACTCGTAAACATCAAATTTGTTTGTACACACTTAATTTGTTCATTGTTCGTGTTAAATATACAAAACTGATTTATCCGTATCCCACTTGTCTGGCAAGTCTATTCTCTATGTACGTTTTTGCCTTTTAAATCAACTAACAAATCACAGCATTTTATTCTCCTTTAAGTTTGATTATCTAAATTTATAAACTTGCATGTTTTCGGACCTATTAAAGGAGGAACTCTGATCTATTACGAAAAATGTCTGCTCACAAAATGAAAAAAAGCATTAATCGCTTAGAGACTGAAATATACAAGCTAAAAGCGAAAGGTTACCTAAAGAAAACGTCGGATTCTAATGATGAGCTGATTGTTGAGCTGCGAGGACCGAAGGACACACCATTCCACAATGGACTTTTGACTGTAAGTATCGTTTTGCCGCTTGATTATCCTTTCAAAAGTCCCTCTATCGGCTTTGTTAGCAAAATATTCCATCCAAATGTCGATGAATCGTCCGGAAGCGTATGCTTAGATGTTCTCAACCAAGTATGGACGCCATTGTATGACCTGCAAACGATTGTGGAGGTGTTCATTCCGCAATTGCTCGCCTATCCCAATGCCATGGATCCACTTAATACGAAAGCCGCACAGATGTACTTGAATGATAGAGACATGTACAACAAAGTGGCCAAAGAATACGTTTCAAAGTACTCAAAGGAAATTAATAGGGAAAGGGAAGATAATTCATTGAGTTATTCCAGTTCTGACTTGGAGTTTGAAGCCGAGTTGGTCTAATTAAACGACACAAAGTATTATGTTCCATTCTTGTTCGTCATTTTCAACCCAAAAGCATGCCAATCACACCTAAAATCAAGTATTAATTCCTTTCGCAAACCACAATTAGCAGAGTGTATGGCGCAGCGTATACTGTTATGATGCCCATAATTCAAAGTTGCAGCAATAATTCATTCACAAACCCTTTATTACGTTTCAAACATTTAAATATCAATCATTGAGTAGATATTGATGTATTTTCCGCTAGTAAGACTTAATTTATATAATTTTTACACTTTTCTCCCAATTGCTGACCATGAGTTACTGCTGAAGATCGATTTAACACTATTGAAGGCGTAACGTAGCACTTGAGCAGTTCTGTAGGATCAAAATACCACAATTGTACAATGATATTCGTTAATGAGTAGAACGTGCTTTATAGGCACCATGTATCATTCATGTGAAGCATTTTTTAACTCAGCAACCTGAGAACGATAGTCGCTTTATGGCCGGGACCGTTGCCTTCTGAGTTATTTAGGCAGCCAGAGTTCGTCTTGCCAGTAGACAACGAAGTGATTAACCAATAAAATGCACCAGGCCAATAATTGTCAACAGCAACACACTAACGAATAATAACAGGTATTTTAGATACGCCAGCTTGCGTACAACTCGCACACAACTTATTCTGTAACTGGAACCAGAGACTCGTCATGTAAAACAACACATGGAGACACCAAAATTTTAGTTCTGATACAGATAGCAGCATATTACACGTTCCACGAATAATTAGAAAACACCGTAGGCACAGGCACCGCATTTTCCTATCCTAGTGTTAAACATTGCGTTGATCACGTGTGCTATATATGAGCGCACAACAAGAGTGTATTCAGTGCTGAGACTGGTCGCTGTAGAGAATATAATATACAAGCAACAGGCCTGGTAAACCATTTGTCGACATATGTTTCTCTCATTACAGAACAGGTTTGAATTATTCGTTCATCAAACGGTGCGGTGTTGGATACATTTACGCTTAAATTGTGGAACCCTTCATGGACAACAATATAATCGAAGTATGGTCAGACAACTTGGAATCATCATTTACCGAGATAAGAAAACTCGTACAAACATATAATTACGTGACCATGGACACGGAATTCCCTGGAGTGGTGGCAAAGCCACTAGGAAATTTTACTTCGCAGTCAACATATGCGTACCAGCAGCTGCGCTGCAATGTCGACCTCCTTAAAGTAATACAAGTTGGAATTACCTTTAGTGATTGCTACGGCAATTGTCCGCCGCGAAACACGTACCAGTTCAACTTTCATTTTGACATCGACAGGGAGATGTACGCGAAGGATTCACTGAAGCTTCTGGTTGAGGCACAGCTGAACTTTGAGAAGCATCGTCTACAGGGCATCGAGGTAGAGGAATTTGGCAATCTGTTGATCACGAGTGGCCTTATCCTGTCGAGGAATGTTACCTGGTTATCCTTTCATTCGTCGTACGATTTCGCTTATCTCATGAAAATTGTCACATGTAATCCGCTGCCAGCGACAGAAAACGAGTTTTTCATGTTCATGAACATTTTGTTTCCCAATTTCTACGATGTTAAGTACTTGCTGAGAGGATCCAAATATCTCAAGAGGGGATTGCAGGAGATTGCTGAGGATCTTGGACTGAGGCGTGTGGGTGTGCAGCACCAAGCTGGTAGCGATGCCCTGCTAACGCGTGATGTCTTCTTCAAAGTTAAGGAAATTTTTTATACAAAGGAGGACATAACCAAGCATGCTGTGAAGTTGTATGGAATCGAATGCAGAGTTGAAGAGGATAAGGTGGCAATTTGTGACCTGAGTCTGTAAATTTATTAAATCATTTTTAGCTCTTCTCTACCGTTTTTCGTAATTCAGATTGGTCAGGAATGATAGTCTCTAAATGATAAGCTAGATCCTACATCATTTCAGATGTTTCGTGAGGTATGTGAAAATGCCTTATGAGTGTTAATAGGTGAGTGATACACCTTTACACTTTTATTCATCGATTCATTCGTGTTTTTTTCCAGATATCTACAACGATACATATGGGAATACACAGTAAAGGCCGAACAGAAAATGTGTTGTATTGATCTTACGTACGCTATCGCAGCCTTGCTCTCGATGCACATTCCAATTTTATGGTGCCCTGTATTTGTTCAAACCACCAATAAGTTGTTTTTTTACTAATAATACGTCTACTACACATCTCCTATCAACCGGTTGTTATTGTCATAAATTATCAGCAAACTTTTTTCTTCGTTTATTGCTCTTCCCTGTTTTTTGTTTCAATATTTGTTTTAAAAAGCACCCCGTGTATCTAAAAAAAGTAACACCAGAAAAGCATGCCCATCCAAAGAAACTACAGAAGAACCACAAGAAATTTTGACAATTTCATGACGGAAAAAGAGCGAAGCTATGTCTCTTCCATTTTCCAGAAGAATATTCTCCGCACAAACAAAATTTACAATTATAGCATTTTCTACGACGAGAAACCGGAGCATGAGGAGACTCATTCGGATAAAGTCAAGGAGTATCACATTGCAGTGAACAATGAGAACAACAAAGAGCTCATTAACGAACTGAAGGGTCTTAGGCTTGACAGAATGGGACAACCTGGCACCAAGACAAGCGCGGAAAAGAGCGATGCGAAGACAGGAGACGGTAAATCAGCCGAGAGCCTGTTTAAGCCCACTAGGCATGGTAAAGTGCACAAAATCAGCTTCATAAAATCGATCAAATTGCCTCGGCTGATGATAGATGTTGATATCCCCGTTTACGATGATCTAGCAATCAAGCTGAAGATTGAGGAGATGATCGACGCTTTTATGTGCCAGAAGTACCGAATCAAAGAAAGTAACTTGGACGATCAGTTGGAGCGAAACTCCGAGAGAATGTGTGATTTCTTTAAAGTAGCAAAATTTCAAAAACTTGTCAAAGAGATCTTCGAGGGCGAAAGTGAGAACAGCAAAAGGATACTGCTGCTTGGAATGTTGAGAAACTCGCAGTTCATAAAGGCAAACGAGAGTGTGTCTGCATTGCTGGATTATTTGGTGGCTTACATTCCAAAATTGAGCGTGGAGGAAATCACGAACACTACCTTTTTTGACAATTTCATGTTTGGACTGAGCGGAGTTCTCCTGGCCACTCTTCTTCTTATAAATCAGGAAATTCTAGCTCCACACTTCTATCAGCACCTCCAAACCCGAATGGAGTATCTGATCAGCAATGAGCTGAAGTATGTTTGGCGATTCCTTGCGTTACTTGTCATTAACCTTGATGATAACGCGAAGAAGTGGATTGTAGTAAGGTTAAAAGATAAAATTGTTGAAGTGGCTGTATCCAATCATATGGATGATATTAGCGACATGAGCCTATTCCTGGATGCACTTGGACTGAGCTCCGATGATCTCTCTTGATGTAACCAATAAATTCTGTTCAAGCTAATTTTTTCCCTGCCATGGTGTTCAGTGACCATAGCTTCTATTTTTTAGGTACAATTAAAGCAATCAATAACGATGAAGTAGGACCGATTTGGCATTACTAATCCTGTAAATATAACCACGACAATCGACGGATAAATCGCCCGTTCCGACGGATGTAATGAGATTCTTCATTAGTTTTTGAGATGTATATTGTAAAGCAATGCCTATTTCTCTCGATTTATTTTGCTAACCTTTAGCTATATTCTGTGACCGGTCAGATTATTTTACTGATGATATTCTGCAGAAATGTTCTGCTTAAGTCAATCAGAAATAACCTAAGGATAGACTTATGATAGTTCATCACGGTAAAAACGCTGACATGCAGTTGGTTCCTTGTGTAGAAGGCATTTGATCATTTGTTGGTAACCAACAGCTCAATATAAAGCATCAAAAGAGATCTTTTCATGTTTTATTATTTAAATAAAAGAATTGTACGTGTTGTCACCGCCTTCAGTGTTTGAAGAGCTCGATAATGCATCTGTCTAGAAACACGGTTTGGCCCTTCAGATAATGTAAAACGAAGTGCTCGACTGGTTTCAAAAAAGGTGTTAAAACACTTTTCCTGATAAATACAGTGACTGCCAGAATATGGCAATTGTTTTTCTTTTTTTCAACGTCTTGTCCGAATAACTAGCATGTCCTACCGAAGCAAGCACTCAACTATAACAAAGAATAAGAACATCATTCATAATCAACTATAACAGTCATAACTCGTAGAATACAAAGTTTATTTACAAATCATCTAAGATCTCCGATGTTACGGTCCTTTACAATTATGTTTTTCAATACTTCGGCTAAAAAACAAACTAAATCACCTCTTTCTTTTTTTTCAACAGGGACCTTCATATTCTTCAGCTTTTCAGCTTTATCGCTGAAGCCTAGCCTTTGTGCCTGATCGTGAATTCTTATAATCATCATTTCCAGCCGGTTATCGTAGTCGTGATCGATTTTGTCGTAATTTCTCAGCAGATATAAAGTCTCATCCGTTTCTCGATCGTACGAGTCTTTAAAAAGCAGCAGCTCAACAATCTCCAGAGCATACTCTTTTTGCCCATTTTGATGGTCTAACCTCTGCATATACTTGTATTGCGTGCGGAGATCCTCGTAATTGCGGTTGTTTTTTAGTTTTCTGTCAGCGATGTTGGTCATGTAGTCAGGACAATTCAAAATCTCGAGCAGTAGGCAATCATGTGAATCGAACACCGTATCCATGTAATCAATGACCTGAGTGTTCTTGTTCTGCTTCCCGAATTCACTTTTCAGATAGCTCTGGTATATCCTGATCTTTTCGAAAACAGAACCTATTGTTCGAAGGTTCCTCATGATGCTCTCATTCTCATTTTTCAATGAATGAATGAGGTTTTCCAAGTTATAAATCATTACTTCTGTTTCCTCTGTGCTATCATACCTTTTAGAGGGAAACTTCTTGTTAAATACTAAGAATAAATCGATCACAAGGTCTCTAAACTTGAGCTCTGATAAGCTAGAAAGTCTCATATTATCCTCCTTTAGTGCGTCTCTTTTGGTTATGCGTCGATTTATTTCTGTCTTAACATCTTTTACAAGGCATTCGAACTGCAGTGGTGTTAAGAACGACATTTTCGTCGTTGCACTTTTCTGCCGTTCTTTAATATCAATTTTCCTGAGATGTATGCCGATATATCCGTAGAGTATGTATCGCGTAATTTCATGCTCATCGTCACCTTTATTAGCCATCCTCAGATACAGCAATTCCTACTTTAAATATGTGATAAAAGACGGTTTCAAAGGTTGTTTCACATATAAAAAGGATTTACTGGGCAAGACTGTGCATGGCCACTGATGCTTTGAGGCATTCACCAATATCTTGATCGCATGCTGTCCTGTGTTAGCAGTCATCCCTTCGATAAGTTGTTCCACAAAAAACCTGAGGCCGATTGCTACACGTAGATCACTGAAAGTGTAAGAGCTAGAAGTTCTTTGTACTCAGAATTTGATTGGATAAGATGGAGTATCTGTTTCAGATACGTTTGCTGTAATTGGATCTTAATATGTGCATCAGCGAAGGAATGAGTGGTCGAGTTTGATTTTGCTGCTAACTTGAAGCGTTTATAAATCACAATTTTACAATTCTAACTGCATTAAGTGTGTTCGGTCTATGACAGACATTTCTTGCCACAGGTATTTTGCTTGCACAAACCAGTTTAGGTTATTTGCCTAGTGATTTGAGGCTTCCAACCATGAGCCTATTAGTATTTTTAATACAAACCAAACGAAATAATTATCAAAACGATAATTCAATGCTCGATTATGAAGTTTTGGGATTGAGTTGTGTGTTCAGAATGAGCTAATGCTCATAGTTTACACTGGTCAACGCATATGATAAAACACAACACGAAAGTGAGCCCTGTGTTGTGGTCCTTCGGTTGACCGGTTTACTAAATGGAATATCAGTGGTTTTACCTAATTGGGATGATTAAATCACAAACTTAATCGAAAAGGGAAAATTCACAATCACAAGACAAGAAAGGGAAACACTAATTGCTTTGTGTCACAGTTACGGACCATGTAACATATACTTTTGCATGGAAGTATGAACTTTATTTGTTGGAACTATTCTTCTGGTATTTGCTATGTGCACCATTTCGGGCTCGATGGCATGGAACATATGTTGCCATTTGGGCAGCCCCATTCCTGTAATACATTGTTGTTCCTTTTGTTCAGAAAAATTTTGACCCCCTGAAATGGCACATGTAAACTTTGATATTGATGACATAAAAAACGACCTCATCGAATATTTAACCAAAAAAACACCTTTGACTCGTAAAATGGCACAACTGGCAACGGAAGTAAGTAAGAACTTTGGAAAGTCGGATTTTACGATACAATTGGCGAAGGTTTTACATTCTGAAAAAAATGGTATCAAGAACATCATTGCTGATGTTGATCTACAGGTCGACGATTTCCTAGTGGAGGTATCGAAGTCGAAGCTCTGTTACAATGTGAAGATTGATAAAACGAGATATTGCGATCGGATATATACAGCCATAATGAGCAGTGAGGTATATGACGCGGAATGCATGTCACACAAAGCTAGATATTATGGATCGAAGAATATGGGCAAGGGTAACACGATCGCGATCGATTTCTCGTCACCGAACATTGCAAAAAAATTCCATGCTGGTCATCTGCGAACAACTATTTTGGGAAATTTTCTTTCAAATCTCTACAAATACCTAAACTTTAAGGTGGTAAGAATTAATCACCTTGGCGATTGGGGAAAGCAGTTCGGCCTGGTGGGTGTGGGGTTTAAAAAATATGGAAATGAGGATGAGTTGAATAAGGATGCTATAAAACATCTATTGGAGGTATATATAAAGATAAATCAGGATCTAAGGGAAGAAAAGGATGCTATGGAAGAGAAACTAACCTCTGATATGAGTGGAATGCAAATAAATGGTTTGAATTCGAGTCAAGACGAAAAATTGTCGGAGTTTGAGAAAAAGCGCAATGTCTCGAAAATTGACCAGGAGGCCAAGGACTATTTTGCAGCGCTTGAACGGGGCGATGAGGAGAAAATGAAACAGTGGAAGCGTTTCCGATCTCTATCGATTGAAAAATACAAAGTTCTGTACTCAACATTAAATATTAAATTTGATGTATATGGTGGTGAAAGCTTGTACGCTAAGGCTGGCCTTGAAGTCATCGGCGATGCGGAGATCGACACGGACAGCAGCATGTTTTATGATTTGGGCGAACTTGGGAAGCTTGTAGTCAGAAAAAGCGATGGCAGCACGTTGTATTCGACGCGAGATTTAGCGGCAGCTGAGGACAGAATAAAGAGTTATAATCCAGTCAAATTGGTGTATGTAGTTGCAAGCCAGCAAGATTTATATTTCAAACAGCTGTTCAGTGTGCTGAGAGGCGAGTGTGGAAACAAGAGACGCATTCCTGATGGCTTGGAACTGGAACACATTAGTTTCGGTATGGTGAATGGGCTTAGTACGCGAAAAGGAAACCTCGTCTTTCTTGAGGACATAATAGATGCGGCAAAGGAAGCAATGCACAACACTATGATTAAGAACAAAGCGAAATACGATGAAATAGAAAATGTGGAGGATACATGCACGACGCTGGCCGTGTCAGCCATGATTATTCAGGATTTCGGCGCTAAACGAGCAATAAATTACACATTCGATATGAAACGGAACACCAGCTCGGAGGGCGAGACCGGTCCTTACCTCCAGTACACGCATTGCCGATTAATGTCTATTCGCAAAAAAAATTCTGTTTTGTGTGCCAAGATAGACGCAGATTTGTTGTCGGATGATGCACTTAATCTTATCTTCTATCTTTCCAAGTTTGGCACTGCCGTTAACGAATCGTACACGACATCGGAACCATGTAAGCTGGTAACCTATCTCATGAAGCTATCAAAGCAGGTCAACTCGCTTTTCTCTACCTTAAGGGTTTTTGGAGAAGAAGAAAAACTGGCACAAGCCCGGCTGGCAGTCTTCGAAGCATCGCGAAAAATTCTAAACAACGGGATGAAAATACTTGGCATGAAGCCTTTGGAGCGGATGTAGTGCCAATGAAGAACATCATTAAAGTTAATATTTTTGCTTCCATGCCTTTGATCGAAATAGCTGTATAAGCTCGTGTTGCAAATGGTATGCAGTATCAAATTGATATGCCACCAAATATTCCCGCAGATTAATGGCAGTAAAACCTAAATTCATAAAAATATGATCAAGAATTGCTGTATTTAGGATAATGGCGATGACACGGTTCAACATGCCAACATTAAACGAAATACACTTCTTGGGCAACAATAATAACACGGCAGACTTGCAGTCGAAATAACTCGTGCAAGCATAATTTTGTAGGAATACGTGTTGATTATTTTTGCCAAGTATAAGAAGAACAAAGCAGATGTTTTACTCGTTGTTAAAGAATAAAATACTGCACAAAGATATCATCTTGATGCCATAAACTGACACGTGGTATCTATAATTGTGATTTTCATCGCAGTGCAAGATCTAAAAAGCAATTTATGATTACTACCTGCATCTACCTGGCATCAAAAGGCAAATGCCCTGATCATCTTGTACCAAAGTATTTCATCCTAGTGGCACGGCCTAACGATGTAAAGTGGTGTATTCAAGAAATTACTGAGTCCGAACGACATGCTACTTCAAAACAAATTTTAACTACTTTCAGCTTTCTCTACATACCATAAGGCTGAGAAGGGTCTTGACGTACAGAACTATCTCGACAAACTTCATCTTAGAGGAACCTGTGCATCTGTCGTGAAAAATGATCGGATACTCACCAATTTTAAAGTCATGGACCGCAGCGCGGTATATTACCTCCGTTTGAAAAGCGAATCCATCTGATTTTACGAGCGGAACAATCGTTTTAAGCAAGCTTGTTCTGTATAAACGGAAGGAATTGGTGTAATCGGTGATATCGACGCCAAGCATGATTTGTGCAAGGTTGTTTGCACCTCGTGAAATGACTTTTCTCAGAAATGGCCAGTTAACAACATTACCCTGGTTGTATCTTGTGCCGTAGACCAAATCATAGTTAGATTTCCGTTGCGTTTGTATAAGATTTTGTATATCAAAAGGATTCTGTGAGAGATCAGAATCCATTATTATAACGAATTCGCTGTTTTCACAGTACTTCAACGCATGTTTGTATGCGCTTCCTAGGCCCGATTTCTGGTTCCTTCTGATAGCCATAATTGGAAATTCATCGCGTAGCTGACAGACCAGTTCGTATGTGCCATCGGGAGAAGCATCATCAATGAATATCATACTATATGGAAGGTTAAGCTGCGTAAAGGTTTCTTTCAGGAAAATACACAGAATTTCGACATTATCACGCTCGTTGTATGTGGGGATAATAATGGTGTACATTTGTGGGGATAGAACCAATAAAAATAAATAAATGTTAATTTAGTTGAAACGAATAACGCTGGATAAGGAGCGTAGCCTACGCATACTTAAGTAGCAAAATAAGCAACGGACAGATAAATGTATTACAAGCGACATCGATTCGCTCTAAAACATCATCGTACTAAGATGGCTCTATCAGCCTAACAGCTCTGGCACTGATATTTTACTGGCCAAGCCAATCAGTTTCTACCATGAAAAACAAATATTACGGATTTTTTCGCCACAACCGCAGATATAATACGGAATGAATCCAGCTTTAAATCTTAAATGTATGACCATATCGAGTATGTTCTATTGTTGTAAAGAACTCTTCATTTAAATACTACGATAGTGGTACTGGCAATTTACATAACGAACAGATGTTTTTGGCTCTTATATACCAAATATTAGACCAGATGTATCATAGCTGTTTATTCAATGTGCTTTAACATTGTATGACATTACTTTTACCTTTAATCCCGATCATATTGTCAAAGAATGGCCATTCATGTCAAGGCTGAACTAGTCACTTCCCTACAGAACACATATTTCATAAATTCTGTCTCATATTATCGTTCAAGTACCTGTTCTGCTTGTCTATAACCTCGGCACTATCATGGCAATCCTTATAGAGCGACAAGAGCTCGTAGTTGATCTTGAAGAACTCGTTCCCGTAGTTAAACTCCCTGACAACATCATGAGCTTCATCTGCGAATCCGCATATATAAAGACCAGCAGCCAAGGCTTCGGCACAGTTTAATTGGCATGGTTTTCCATAGTTTACAGGATTCGCAGCCACAAGAAACGGAAGTAATCTGTTTTTACACCCGCAAAACAGTCTAAAATCGGTGGAGTCAACCTTTTTCCATGAGCAGTCTATCAATCCTATCCCCTGCTTATCGATCACGCATTTGTCAAGCGGGGAGATAGTCTGTGTTCCCTTTGGTGATAGGAGTATGCCGCCAAATCTTTGTTTGTTGTTTAACATTTGCACTTTATTCGCCCGAATAAGTTTTTGCCCGGAGCATATCTTTTTGTTGCATTGACCAATATCGTAGATAATTTTCCTGACCATCCTAAGCGTCAATCTCAACTCAAGGGGCACAAATTTTTTGCTGATTCGTTCTCGGGGTTTACCACAAGTGATGAATGGTGAAACAGAAACATATTCAGTTAGTCAGTGGAGTTGTTACTATAAACGCATGTGAGTAAAGGCATCTGAATACTTTGAAGTGACCATGGCGTGTTACCAGCAAATGAGAGACGAGCCGGTATTCCTATGATACCTTGTCAAATTCATTACCAGTGCCCGTCTCTGTCGCACATGTTTGCATGCACTATGAATAAAATAACGTACAATAAATGATATGATACACGGATATAACTATTTGTTACCCTATTAAAAGTCCTTAGTTTGCCGTATTAAGCTTGCTTACCTGTACGAGGTGTGGTTTTGTAACTATCTATAGGGTTAAACCAGATCTAGTAAGAGTCGGTAACATAGTACTTATAATTATTCATGACACCAGATCATATGTAAGTAGCTTATCACCTGCTAAAACTCCTCATTGTGACTTGGTTAGGAGGTAGTATTATTTGACACAAATGATAGGAGAATAAGATCATAAGGACAGAACATTCTCTCCAAATCAAGACAAATATGACGTATTTATCTGGGCAGCTTACTGAAAAGATAAATTATGTGAAGTATGACGGCATGATTTGGCACACATCTATCTTCATTTGATGAAAGAAGCGTTGATTGAAACAGTCTAAGAGGTCATTACCGATGTCTATGGAACATATATCGTTAGTGTGAATGTCTTTATCGTATCAGGATTGCAAAAATAGCGTTGCATTTTACAAGATTTAGATGTAAATCGTACTGATAGCTTATATTCAAGCCCAAATGCCTATTCCACCGAGATAGTGATTGATATATACCACAGCTTTTTGTTAAGACTATACCGCGCTTTTGAACAGGACAAAACACGGCATACATTCGTGCTGCAAGATGAGTTATATTAGATGTATAGTGCACCGACTACAGTATTTATAACCAATTCAACATCCTTGTACCAGTACCTACCGGGTGATTGGCAACCATTATTGCTTTTTGTTGAAATCAGAATTTACTTGTTGAAAAAAAACGCTGGACGATCCACTATCAGCATGTGATCCAAAAAGACCGAAATAGAACGGCGTGGTAGCGCACAAATAGATATGTGCGACACACAACATCCTGCTGATTTCTGAACATGATATGTACTGATAGACCTGTAGACAAAGTTTTTTGGACCATTTATTACCGATCCAACAAACGGAGTATTTGATGAATCAATATTCGATCCGTTGTTGATGCCCATAACGAAGGTAGAATTTGAATTGATGAAGAAATACAGCAATATTTAAAGCCCAAGTTGAACTAAGCCAAGAACAGAACGTTGTGTTCATCAACAAGAGCGATGAAATCAATAATCAAAATAATAAGCACGGTTACAAGAGATAGAATGTTTCGTACATTACCAAATGTTGCAATCGCATAGGCGTTCATAATCTGTCTTGATTTGATTATGTGAGATGAATGAGTCCACTAAATACAAAAAGTTGGTTACTAACTGACTGTATTAAAAGTTTTACGCTATGAAGTATAATAAAGCCTGAACCGAAAATATCTGGAAAATGAGAACAGAAATTGCCCGTAAGCCAGGTGTTTTTTCAATTCTCCCCTACACTGATTCCTTGATTTAGACTTGAAACACACGTAAAATCAGCATCTCAGTAATCGAATGCATGCAAAGTTTTACTTTTCTATTCGAGTTACTTATTAATATCACCACTATGAATCAATATACGTGCTTGTATACAACCCAAGGATAGAAAAGTACATTTCCAAAATCAGTACTGCAAAAACACGCACATCTGCTGCATTCATTAACAATCAATCTACAACAAAACACAGAACATGATGTGCACGAAATACACCACCCAATGTCAATCACAGAGGGACAGCATCGTTCCAAGAATCGATTTTTTTATCATTCATAGCCGATCGCTCAATGATGGGCAGTTCAGCCTCGGATTAGCGAGTAATACCTTTAAAGAGAAATGCTGCTACAAAACATGAAAATGCCACCACTTGCATCGATCTTTCTCGTGCCTGGCAATTGATGGCAGAGGTTTGCTTTTAGGTGTTCATTAGTATTTAGCTCATGGTGGGTAGGTTGTAGAAGAATGACACAGCAATACTGGCACGCACCAAATCTGCAACAATAAAATGCATGGTATGGTCGGTATCGGTACGATGAAGTGCAATATTTGGAAATAGTTCGTCCGTTTTTGATCTACTACTTGTGTACACAGCAATTGTGCCGTATGTTAACGGACATTCTGCTGATGTACAGGTAGACCAAGAAAGGCTGATGGACAGTTCTGCAGCTCAACCGGATCATAGAAGATTTGAGAAGAGAAATAGCGTTTAAACCATACAACTGTTCAAATTAACACTGAGATGCTACTCTGTATCTTAAGAATGCGTAAGATTCTCGCCACCCGGTAGCTATGCACCTCGCAGCAGCATTAGTGAATGATTTGCAATGTCTATTAGAATGAATAACAGAAAAGCATTTATTAGCCATACAGGAACAGCATCGGTATCAACAGATGAGAGACAGCGCTACGATAGAACACGCTTGGTCCATTCACATTCCATTGTTTGTGGTACGAATCAGTCAAAATACCACTCACTGATCGAAATATCATTTTGCAGTTGAACA